AACCCAGGAGTCCTGGCTCCCAGCCCCCAATCCCCATCTAACCCCCATTCTCCTCCCAAACCTGGGATAGAACCCAGGAGTCCTGGCTCCCAGCCCCCAATCCCCATCTAACCCCCATTCTCCTCCCAAACCTGGGATAGAACCCAGGAGTCCTGGCTCCCAGCCCCCAATCCCCATCTAATCCCCATTCTCCTCCCAAACCTGGGATAGAACCCAGGAGTCCTGGCTCCCAGCCTCCTGCTCTAACCATGAGACCCCACTGCCCTCCCAGAGTGGGGGGGAGGGGGGTTGCCGGGCCGGCTGGGCCCATGGGTCTAAGTAGGGGGCAGGGCAGGACCCTATGGGGTGGATCAGGAGATGGGGCAGGACCCAGTGGGTGAGAGCAGGGGACAGCGCAGGACCCCGTGGATCTGAGTTGGGGGCAGGGCAAGACCCCGGGTCGGGGCAGGACTCAGTGGTTGAGAGCAGGGGATGGGGCAGGACCCCGTGGAGCTGAGTGGGGGGCGAAGTAGGGGTGGGGCAGGACCCCACGAGGTGACCCCTGCCCCGGCCTGTGTCCCCAGGAGAGGCGTCGGCTGGAGGAGCTGGGCAAAGTCTGTGAAGACGAGAGCAGAGATGACTCGCCCGTCAGTAACCAGGAGCTCACCAAGGTAACCCCCATCTGCCGGGGTCCCCCCGGCACACCCATCCTGTGCCCCCACCTACCTGTCTCCCACCTGCCAGGTTCTCTCCCCCCCCACCCCTGTGTCCCCCACCTCTCCCTTCCCCACCCGCTAGAGTCCCCCTCCCTGGCCCCCCACCGCTGCCTGCTCCCGTTCAGATCAAAGCTTCTCTGCTGTATCCCAAGGCTGTGCCCCCCTTTACCCCCCCCCCGGATGCCTGGGTCCCTCCAGCTGCGGGCCGGGAGCCCCTGGTTAAGAAACACGTTGACCCGGTGTCCCGGGGACCCAGGCCAGCAGCGACGCAGCCGGGAGCCCAGCGTAGAACAGAGCTTGGGAGCGCAGGGAGAAGGGACCTGCAGCAAAGTCCATGTGGGGGGCCCCAGAGCCCTGGACTGCCCCCTCTGAGTCCCAAGCAGGAGCCTGACCTGGCCCCAGACCCGCCTGTTCCCCCTCCTTGTTCCTTTATCTCTGACCCGGGCCAGCACCGACAGCACCCCCTGATTCTGGCAGGGGAGGGGGCCCGGTCATCAGGTGCCAAGCTACAGCGTGTCCGGCCAGTTCTCTGTCCCAGGCAGCCAGTCAGTGTCACACCTGCCCTCTCCTCCCACCACCAGAAACTTGAGTAACACATAGGGGAAACTGAGGCACACACGGTGTCTTCAGAGAAGACAGGCAGAACATTCCCACTTCCTCACACCTGGGCAGGTGGGGTCATGTTGCCACCTGCTGGTGAGTTCCAGGCATTGCAGACAGGTGGCTCCGAGGAGAACTGGGAGCCAGGACTCCTGGGTTCTCGCCCCAGTTCTGGGGAGGGGGGAATGGGGTCTGTTGATCAAAGCAGGGGGCTGGGAGCCAGGACACCTGGACTCTTTCGCTGGTTCTGGGAGGGGAGTGGGGGCTAGTGGTTAGAGCAGGGCGGGCTGGGAGCCCCACCCCTGCCGTGTCTGTGTGTCTGTCTGTACGTCGATGTCTCCGTGTCTCTGCAGCTCATGTTCACCCAAAAGACGGATCGGAAGGTCGTGGTGCTGGGCTGCGACCAGCGCGACCCGGCCTGCGTGTTCTCCGTCCGCAGCTCCGTCCAGGTGTGTGTGTCCGTCTGTCCTGTGCCCGTTCCCCGCCGTCTCTGCTCTGTGTCTGTGCTCGCCTGTGTCTGTGCCCCTTCCTGTCCCCCACCCCGGCTAGGAGGGGGCAGAGCCCTGGGGGCGGGCAGTGTCGGGGTACCTGGGGTGGGGGTGGGGTGAACCCCACTCGTCGACCCCCTTGCTGTCTCTCTCCAGAGCTCCTTCGGGCTGCAGAGATCGAGGAGCCTGCCTCGAAGACGGGGGGACCGGCTGGTCCCCCGCCCCACCCAGCGCCCCCTCTCGCTCGAAGCCAACGGTAGGAGGGAGGGGATGGGAAGGGTGTGTGTGTGGGGGGGGTATATTTAGGGGGCTGTGGGGCTGGGACATCTCCCAGGGCCCGGTGTGGGGCCGGGTGGGAG